TGAGGGAATTTTCTCAATTTTTTGCTAAAAGTATTAGAGTCAATTGAGAAAAATTTTCAATAATTAATTACTTGGTAAAATTTTAAGGCTTTTGGATAACACAAATTTAAGTTGGTACCATCTTTTGATGGGCGTTGTGAGGGTGCTATAACCTTCCTCACACGTAACCGAACTCCCGAACTCTGTTCTGGTTAGTAGACCTGAACCTATTCTTTTAGGGACCCTTAATTTTAAGTGTTCCCTGAAAGGACAGATTCTTTAGGTGGCCAATCGCACCTAGATAAAAAAGATTGGTGGCGACTCCTAAAAGTCAATATCTAGCGATAGATCCCCGGATCTAGACGTTATGACAACGACATTTATGCATAACAAATGCTTTAATTGAGTTAAACAAATGGCTTTTATTTAGAGAGCAATTAAGGCGTTTCTAAAAATAAACACCATATTTGATAAAAAAAAAAGTAATCAATTAAGGTGTTCACTTTGAAAAACACCTTAATTGACATGAGCAAATAAGGTGTTCATCATTAGAAATGCCTTAATTGATTATGTGTTAAAAAAATGATCAATTAAGGTGTTCATATACACAAACATCTTAATTGACTTGAGCAAATAAAGCTTTCACCATTAGAAACGCCTTAATTGAGTATATATTAAAAACTAAAAAACGATCAATTAAGGCGTTCATATACACAAACTCTTTATTTGATGATGTTTTATAAATTATAAAACTAATAATTAAGGTGATCATATTAACAAATGTTTTAATTGATAATGTTTTATAAACTAAAAAAAAGTCAATTAAAATATTTATTTTTTTATTTTTAAAGGCATCATTTGTCATTTGGGAATTGATTATTAATAAAACAATATGAAAGATTGCCTTAAGCTTGTTAAAGAGATTATGGCAATTATATAATAATTAATAACTGTAAATTTTTTTCAATCAAATGAGTGAATATGAATACGGGATATTTTAAAAATTAAACAAAACTTGGGTATTACATTTTCTCTCGAAATCTAAAATTGTACGAATCAAATGCCTTTGTAAAGTTTTTAAGACTTCATTAATTGTAGTATTTTCAACTTCTTCTCTTGAATATATTGAGAGAAGAGTTTTTTTTTTTTATTATTAGGAATTCCATCTTGAATTTCAACTTGAGTGATTTTTCAAATTTTCATTACTTTACTTTCATGGGTCATTAGAAAATATGAAATTAAAAGTTATTTTATTTATCTCTAACATATTTTTATTTTTATTTTATTAATATATCTATATATTTTTATAAATTAAAAATATCGTATTGTATAGTTTTATAATATATATTTTCACTTCAATATTATTATTTTTTATAATTATTTTTACCTCATAAAATTTAAATAGTTTTAAATTTCTTTTTAAAACATTTATCTAAACAAAACAATTATAAATACTAACATTTAAAAATAATGCATTTTAAAATACTAAAATTTTAAAATGATGCATTCTAACAAGGGTAAGAGTTACAAAGTAGCAAATTGATAATGAATGTTAACCATTTGAATAACAAGTTATCTATTTTTTTTCTTATTTCACTAATAAACCATACGATTGTTTTGTTGGTAAATTTTGTTTTCTATAAGTTATCTATGAAAATTTTAAATTCCACAAGTATGTAAGTTATGTTAAATATTTGTCATATAAATTATAATTGAATAGAGATCCACTTGCAACAGTGTAAGTGTTATAATTTTTTTTTATTCATAGATTAAAATTAAAATCATAACACTCACACTTAGACATTTTATTTCAATGGTAAAAAAATGTGTAAAGTTTACACTAATATAATGAATTTTTTTTTTATAAATATATTAATTTTTTATATATTATGAGTAATATTTTAATTCTTTTAGTTTTAAGCAAATTTTTAACATTAACATCACTTATAAAGATGATATATATGTGTGTGTGTGTGTGAAGATGCATCAATTTATACAATGTAAAATTAAATTAAAGAAATTTTACACATTTTTTTTAATTTTTAATTTTAATAAATTCAAAAGGTGAGACAAACAAATAAAATTTTTTTTTAATTTTATCCCTTTGATTTTAGTTTTATAATATATAAATTGACTCTTCATCATATATATATATATAATATGAATTTACTCACACTAATATTAAAATTACATATTTTTTAATTATTAAATCAAAATAATTAAATATCAATGTTATAAATTTAATTTTAATTAAAAAATAGAAAACAAATATAAAACTTACACTAATACAAACGAATCTTCACTCTAAAGGGATCAAAATAACACTTGCAATATTGAACCAAGTTATAGTTTTTGTCATTTACGATTTAAACTTAAAAACTAAAAAAAAAAAAAGAAAAAAAGAAAAAACCATTGTGTATAAGTAGTAAATAGAAAGATGACAAACGACATGAAATTAGAAAGCCTAACAAACAGAGCATGAACAGTGATACTTGAGAGTTTGCTTTCTATATATTGTTATAGATTTACGAATGACTATGTTAGTGTACCCGACTTTAGAGATAGAGTGTCGGAAACCATATATAAGCTACCTGTTGTCATCTGGCCCATATCTTACGAGCTATTGTCCTGTCATGTCGTCATAAGTCACTTCACTTTGCAGCGCTACCTATTAAATTTCCTCCTCCCAAGTCAGGATTTTTAAATTAAAATTTTTTTTAAAAATAATAATATTTAAAAAATAAATGTGTAATTTTTATATTCTATTAACATTAAAAAATAGAAAAAATTTCATATTTAATTAAGAAAATCTAAGAGTCTCAATTAATTTATTTTTATTATATTATTTTTAATGATATATAAATAATATGTAATTTTTATAAAATAATTAATTAATTAATTTAATATTTATTTATTTACAAATGATTTATTTAAAGTAATTTATATATTTATATAATATATAATTTATTTTATTTATTTATAAATTTTTTATATAAAAAATATTAAATATAAATTCAAAAAAAAAATTGTTTATAAAAAAGGTCGCCTAATATATAAAAGACTACGTTTATTATTACATAATAGCATTGTGTTATTAACTAGATGACAGTTTGTATACAACAAACGTTGTCTGTTACACATTTATTAATTTGTTTGCTTTATGTAACCAAACACACAGACACTACGTTCTATGTGTTTATATATTCTCATTCGTCTTCCCATCTTCACGATCAAACCCACAAACTCTACGTGATCACTTTTCCAAGGAAGTCCTCCTTGTAAACCCTAATCCTCACAACCCGCATTTTATCCTCCAGGTTTTTCTCGCCATACCTTTTACGGAAGACCCATCGACAAGTAGAGTCTCCACGTACGGGGAGATCACGCTCTATGGTTCCCTGGTTTCACTTGTTTTGAGCCTTAATTCAAATCACGTCTTTGACTTTCTTGATAACTTGGATCCTCTCAGGTCTAACTCTGGCATTTGCAAAGCACCCTCATTTTGAAATTGTCTACTTTCAAGACCAAGAGTCTGCAGCTTAATCAAAAGCTTATAGCGTGCTTTACAGCTTATAGTGTTTGACTGTTGCTGTCTGTTTCCTTATAGAGATTGATTTATCAATAGAATTTGTGTTAAAATAGTGATAAGAGTGATGGGAGTGAAGAGAGGACTGGGTGATAAAAAATTATTGTTGTTTTAACAAATGTAATTTATATTTAATAAAAGATTACATTTAATTTTTAACCATAATCTATTATTATATTAAATTGCGTTTTTAATATTAAAAATTGTAATTTTTGTTAAAACTTAAGAATTAATAAGATTACAATTTTTATAATATATTTTCAATAAAATTATATTTTTTATTTTAAAATTGTATTTTTTTTGTTAAATTATAAAATTTAAAAAAATCATTTTTTTAAAATTATATATTTTCTAGATAAATTATTTTTTTTACTTTAAAAAATGTAATTCTTATTGAAACTATAAAATTTTAAAAAATATTATTTTAAAATATTATATATTTTCAATAAACTTATATTTTTATCTAAAAATATATTATTTGTTAGAATTATAGAATTTCAAAAAAATAAAATTTAATAAATTAAAAATAAAAATTAATTATAATCCACAAATTTATTTTAATACATTTCAAATTCAAATAATTTAATATTTTTTAAAAAATATGCATATGTTAACAAATATTATATTTTTATTAAATAAATTCAAATTAATTATACAAACTAAATATAAATATAATCTTAATGAATAAAAATTTAATATAAATAAAAATTGAATTTGTTTTATATTTTTTAAAAAATAAAATTTAAATATGATCGAACATAAAAAAATGAGATTTAAAATGTTTTATGCGTATCAGTCTGGATTTCAGTTTATCAAATAATTTTTTATATTAAAAAATAAAATAAATCATAAAAATAATTTATTCATAAAAATAAAATAAAATTTATATTCCTTAAAAAAAATTAAAAAATTCAAAAGGCGCATAATTTAGGACTATTTTCCTTTTATTGATACTGATACAATTGAAAATCTTAAAATACCACAAAAGTCACATTAGTGAAATTAAAATAAAATTTACGTTAGGAAAAAAAACTTTTGTTTGCTCGGAACCAAACGCTCGATAATAATAAAGAAAAGAAAAAAGAGAACAAGAAAAAAAAAAAGAAAAAGCAGAAGAAAGGAATTCAAATTCATTCTCCAAAACGTAAGAATATCTCCCCATCCACCATATCTTCCACTTTTTAATCAGCTATCAATCTCAGTTCTCCAATGCTCGAGCTACTGAGCTTGGACATATTTCTCCTGTTTCCACTGGAGATCAACTTGTTTTAGGTAAACTACTCCTATTTCCACAAAATGCAAATGGCAAACTGCTGAATTTTTTTTTTTGGGCCAAAAGAACAGAAGTTTCTTTGCATTTATTTCCTTCACTTTCCCTTTTTACCAGGTATTTATTTCTAAGCTACCAAACGGTAAAACTAGATATTTTACAAATTTAATTAAGCACTTTGCTTCTGCATATTTGTACTCATTTCTTTGTGCATGTTTCAGGGATTTAGTGCCAATTTAGGCAAAGCACGCATTTTTTAAATAAAATCTCCAAGTCTAGTGAGCCAAAGTTGGTCGCTTGTTTGGAAATGCACTTTTCTCAAAAATGGGTTTGGTTTGGGTTTGGCATTGGAATCCGTACTGTTTAATGTTCGGGTTTGGGTTTGGAGTTGGAGATGGGTCCCTCTTAATAATCTGTTTGTATAACTTTTTTTTTTTTTTTTCAAAGATTTGGGCAACTTGATTAGTTTAGAGCAGTCGGAATTGTTGAAAAGCAAAGTCTCCACCAATTGTTTGTGTCTGAAATGGAAGAAAGCGGTGGGCAAGACCCAGTAGCTAAATCTAGGGTTTTGAATGTGAGGCCATTACGATGTCTGGTTCCCATATTCCCTTCAACCCCTAGTTTCACTTCATTTCCCCATACCCAAGCTGCTGCCCCTTTTGTTTGCGCCTCTCCTTCTGGTCCATTCCCCTCTGGTTTTGCACCCTTCTACCCATTTTCTGCTTACTCAGATGCTCAAAACATGCAAACTCCGCCTTTTGGGTTCAGTGGCACCATTCCAGCTCCGGTTCCCATCAATTCATTCAGGACTGCAGCAAATGGAGATGCAGGGTCATCCAGAAGGAGTTCCAGAGGCCGCGGTCCATCGCAATCTGAAGAAGATGGTTACAGCGATAGCATTCATGCAACTGATGCAGAAGATTCAAGCAAGGTTGCCAGTGCCACCACAAAGAAAAAGACTCAGAAGAGTAGTTGGGCCAGCAGCAGCCAGGATATCGATGCTGCTTACTCGGATGTGGATATCGATGCTATGGTTGATAAAATTCTTGAGTCATTCAATCTCATTGATTTTGATACATTCAGGCGAGCTGATGGTGACAAGCAGTCGGTAGGATACATTCGTTTGATCTATGAGGTGCTCCGAAGAAAAATTTCTCAAATTGAGGATTCAAAGGAATCTACTCCCGGAGTAACAAGACGGCCTGACTTAAGAGCAGGAACAATCTTAATGAACAAAGGGATTCGAACTAATATCAGGAAGAGAATTGGTGTTGTACCTGGTGTGGAAGTGGGGGATATTTTCTTTTTCAGGATGGAGATGTGCTTAATTGGATTGCATGCTCCAATTATGGCCGGTATTGATTACATGGGCCTCAAGGTATCTCAAGACGAAGAGCCAGTAGCAGTTAGCATTGTCTCATCTGGAGGATATGAGGATAATTCGGAGTACGGAGACGTGTTGATTTACAGTGGCCAAGGTGGCAATGTTTATAAGAGAGGCATGGAAATAACAGATCAGAAGCTTGAAAGGGGTAATCTTGCTTTAGAGAAGAGCTTGCACCGGGGTAATGAGGTTAGAGTGATTCGCGGTGTAAAGGATGTAGCAACTCTAACTGGAAAGATATATGTTTATGACGGTCTTTATAAAATCCAGGAATCATGGGTGGAGAAGGGGAAGTCTGGCTGCAATGTATTTAAGTACAAATTAGTTAGGTTATCTGGGCAGCCTGAAGCATTCAATGTATGGAAATCTGTTCAGCAGTGGAAGGATGGCAGTGCTGATAGAGTTGGAGTTATACTGCCAGATCTCACTTCTGGGGCAGAAAGTATTTCTGTTTCTCTTGTAAATGATGTTGATGATGAAAAGGGGCCAGCATATTTCACATATTCTCCCCACCTAAAGTACTCAAAACCTGTAAATTCAACCGAATCTTCGACTGGCTGCAGTTGCCATGGTGGTTGTCTAGCTGGTAACTCCAACTGCCCTTGCATTCAACGAAATGGTGTACATCTCCCATACGTTGCAAATGGAGTTCTTGTCAGCCAAAAAGCTTTGATACACGAGTGTGGTTCTTCGTGTAAGTGCCCTTCTAATTGTAAGAATCGGGTATCTCAGAGTGGTCTGAGAGTTCGTTTAGAGGTGTTTAAAACTAAAGATAAAGGTTGGGGTCTGAGGTCATGGGATCCCATCCGTTCTGGGGCTTTTATTTGTGAATATGCAGGGGAAGTGATTGATATTTCTAGGGCAGAAGAGTTTGGAGGTGAAAATAATGATGATTATATTTTCAGTGCAACTCGCACTAATTTGCCTGGGGAAGCTATGCTGGGTGTATCTAATGAGACTCCAAAGATCCCATTTCCTCTAATTATAAGTGCAAAAGATGCTGGTAATGTAGCTCGGTTTATGAACCACAGTTGCTCCCCAAATGTATTCTGGCAGCCAGTTTTGCGTGAGAATAGCAAGGAGTGTGATCTTCATATTGTATTTTATGCAATCAGACACATTCCTCCAATGACAGAGTTGACATATGGCTATGGAATTGTTCCACCAGATACAGCACACCAGAGGAAAAAAAAATGCCTTTGTGGATCAGCAAAGTGCGTAGGTTACTTTTACTAATGGTGTATCAACTTGTGAATTTGGATCAACATAGTCTTTGCCAGCTCGTGGTTTGAGAAAGGTTAGTTATCTACTAATCTCCAATCCTGTGATATGTGATTGTGTATCTTGTTGTACCTATCATTTACTTTAAATACAGTTTATCTTGCTGGATTTGACGAACTATTGTAGATTGCAGAAGTGGGCCATCATCATTAGTTGTACAAAGTGGTTGCTTCCTTTTTTCCTTTAAAGTGCAAACCTTATTTGACATGACGTGATCTATACTAGTATAACATGGAATGGCAGTGTTTGAGTTGGTATCATACCAATTTGATCTTAACTTTTAAATGAGTTGGTTCGCATCTCAGTAACAAGCTTCTCCTAGTTATCTTGCATTTAGTCTCTCTCTCCTTTTATTAGAGATCAAAATACTAATTTTATTTATTTAACTCGCTTTCTTCTGCTGTTTCCTTCTCTCTATTCTCTTTCAACTTTTATTTCATAGAATAAAAAAAAGTTAATATAATTAAAATCTGCCCATCTGGTTTTTGGGTATGTTTTAGTTTTTTGTTTTTGCTTTCTTGTAAGTATTATTTCTTCCACAAACATACAGTCTGCTATTTATTTTAGTATTAGGATTTAGTAGATTCACCCCACTCACACCTTTTTTTCATTTTAGAGAACTCTGGTCCGACGTTATCTGTGTTTCTGTGCTTATGTATCAGTGTGTATCTCAGTATTTTAAACCTGAACATCCAATTGTCATTTCGTTTTCAGTTAACACTCTATGTTGTCATGTTATATTCTAGTTCTTGAAATCTTCTTATATAATTCTAGATTCTTGTTACTGGTTTAATATAAATAGTGTGTCCTGTTGGATTGATTTTGTTGTGATAAATGCTTGAACCAAACCAACCTTGATATGTGTTTAACTTATTAAAAGGAAAGACAGAGCTGTGACGAACCAAGCCAGACCAAACTGTTTAATTTTCTAACTTAATGAACCGTGAAATCTGATTCATCTCTTTCTCACCTCTACCCTTTCCTCTACCCCTTCAAATTTTTTGCGTAAGAATTTTTTTTTTTCTGGGGGAGGATGAGTTAATTTTTTGTGTCCGATTTGGGTTGTTTTGCTTATTGATAAATGCTCTAACAAAACCAACCTTAATTATTTTTTAACTGATTAAAATGAAAAACAGAGCTCTGGCTGTAGCAAACCAAGCTAGACCAAATTGTTCAACTTGCTAGCTTAATGGAACATGGAATGAAGACTTCATGTAAGTATTTTAGCCTATCTAAAGTGCTGAATCTTTCCAATATCAAATCGTGACCAGAATTTCTTTATTTCGATGAAACTTTTATCTTTGTGAATCCTAAATCAGTTCAAACGATTAACAGCTTTCTTTATTCCCTTTAATTTAATAGTTTTGTTGTCAGCATAACCTGTGCAATTTCCAAAAGATTATTGACACTGTAATTATTTAGACAGTTTTTAGAACTGCTTGCTAAGAATTAAATATTCAAAGGTTAAGTTTTGTGTGTTTAAGGTGATTGGGGATTGGGAGATCACTTCAATTGTTTAGGAGCATTGGAAGTGCTCAGTGATGTAGATGTGTCAAAGTTCATTTCTTTATTCTATTCCTCTCCTTAGCCTAAAATGTTATCAACTGATTAAAATCTGATTATTGTTATGCAGTTTTTTGCTGCTGTATCTATCATGTATCTTAAAGAATTAGCACGTCCAAGCACCTCTATGTTTTTCTTCTGATTGACCAAGAGTTTGAACTGTTGCATTATTTTTGGCTTTGTATGATGGCTCTGAATAACTTACTGTTCCAACTTGTTAAATTATGAGCCCCTTGTATATTCTTTACTTCATGCTACATAGGATAGGTTGTTTCATGAATGTATTTCTGCTGAATACATTGGCTTGAAATAGATATTGAATTTACAGGTATGTAGGCTTACCGACTTTCCTGTTTGTGGCTGCTGAATGGGCACGGAATGATCCCTTCTCACTTTTTCTTCATCCGGCATCCATGTTCTTGTACTATTAATTTGTACTAGAGTTTTGAACTTCTAACATTGGAACATTAGTTGAAGTTATTTCTAGCATTTGTATAGTCTAGTTGAGTTTTTTCTATCTCAATATTTTCTGTAATCAACTCAAGTTATTTTTGTCTGAAATGTTCTCTTCTAGATTATTTTCCCCCCTGTTGTAAGGTGCACTGATCAAATTGAACAAAAATTTACCTGAGCCACCAAGATTCCTTGTATAGAACTGTTGGACAGGTCTTGTTTGTTCTAGCACCTGAGGCCCTAGGAATTAGGTTAAATAGAAGGTTCTGTAAGTATTTTTGGATATGTAATTAATACTTGAAGTCTCTTAAGGAAAAGGAATTATTATTATTAAGGTTAATGTTATGAATGGGTCATAAACTATAATAAAATATTTAATGTGATATTTGAATTATAAATCTATTAAATAATGCAGTATTCATTTATAGTTTGATTGTTTTAGATAATGATTAGAGACAAGTAAATAATCTTTTAAGTATTATATTAGTTAATATATTCATAATTTAAGTATGACGTTGAATTATTTCATTATTGTTTATGGATTATTCATGACATTAATCTTTATTATTATGATTATGAAGTCTTTGCATGACATTGTGACATAGGGCTTCCAAAGGCATTACCCAACCTGGGTCAAACTTTTGATTTTGTTGTTTCCGAAGGGAAAGGAATTTGTGGAGGGCTGCGTAAGAGTTTTCTTTTCCTTTCCTCTTTTCCATGGATGAGCTAATTTGTGAAACTAGTACGCCTAGTCGATTTAATGTGGTGTTGAAGATAATTTCAACACAAATATCTAAAATAATTATAAACTAAAAAAGAAACAAAGAGGGTGGCACCGTTGCATTCTATAACTCATACTAGATGAATTTTCACCATTTACCCATAAAATACTTCTAATTGTACACTCCAATAAATTTTTGTATATTTGATTTAATTGAATAATCTATTCATATTCGATATGATATTTGTAAACATAAAAAATGGTCTTTTTGTTTTTAAGCAAAATGTTCTGTTTGGCCTAGTGGAAGTTTTTATAACAAGTGCTGCTCAAGTGGAATTATGTTAAAATTATTAAAAAAGAGAATTTAAAATAACATTTGGTAAATTTAGCGTAAAAGTGTTGCAGAATATTAAAAGTTATTTGATCTTGATTGGTTCAAATGATAAAAGGAGTGCGTTTTTTTATTTTATTTTATTAATTATTTAGGTTCAAATTTATTGAGAATTCATTGAAAAGTTATTTTTTTATAAATTCATTAGATCTAACATAAATAAGCTTGCTTAAACTGGTCTGAAGAGGGGATGTATTGAGAAAAACTTAAGAACCCTTTGTCACAAATTAAAAAAAAAAAAAAAAAGACAATTTGATAGTATTTTTATATATTTAATAAATAAAAAATAAATTCTTTAAAATTATATCACAAGTTTTTACGTGAAAGAAACAAATAAAATAAAGAGATATTTTCATTAATTAGAATAAAAATAAAATAAACAAAAAATTTTAAAATAAATGAATATGAAAAAATGTAATACTCTTTATAAATTTGTGAATTATTGAAGAGCAAAATAAGAATATAAAAAAATTCATTTATTACTTATTAAAATTAAGATTTCTATAATGTTAGATACATTATATATAAATAAGTCTAAAAACACATGATTTCTGCTTTTACAGTAGAAAGTTCTCAAAGATGAAAGACACATTTCTTAAAATTTTAACAATTTAAATGTGATTAAATATTTTCATCTAATTTAAAAGTGCACGAGTTATGGTATTAAATCTAATTATTCTTTTCAACAAAAGATAATTTAGTGTATATATAAACATGCACACACCCTTAAAGTAACGAATGGATCAATTATTAAATCTTGTTATGTTATATATATATATATATATATATATATATATATATATAAACGTGAATTTGTTCTATATTTGTTGTCATTAAAAAAAATTGCATTTGTATAAATATAATGAGATAAGTTGTAAATAAGTTAAAATGAATTAAGCGCAATTATGTTTTGTGTCTACTCAAATGGCAAATCTTATATATATTGAAATATAAGATGCATTTAGCTTTGGCTGCGGAAAGCTCGCTTGAATTTAGAAATTTTGAGGACGCATCAAAAGTTTGTTAAGAAAAAGTTGTACGGATCCATCTGGTAAACCAACAATTTTTAAAAAGGGAAGTTGAAGAGAGAGACAGAAGAAAAGCAAACACCCACAAGGCGTTTGATATCGTTGTCCTTCCCTTTCTTATGTTACGAAAACAATGAAAGCCTTTTGAGCCCTTTTTCGAATTTTTGTAAGGTTGATTCTTTTCTAAAGTTTTGGCTTTCTGCAGGTATTCCCTTTGTGGGTGTTTGTCTCCATCATCATCAGGTAGCTTGGATCGTGCATACAATACAAATGAATGACCGAAAAAAGAGAATCATGAATAGGAACAAAAGCCAAATTTATGACTCTTCCTCCATTCACATGGAAAACTCCCCTCCCAAATCCATTCCCAAGAGGATTTATCAAGTTTGGAAGGGAAATAATGTATTTTTCTTCCTTAATTTGTTGTCATTTTTCTAACATTTCATTTTTTTTTTCTCTATGATGGATCATAAGCTTAATTAAGTTCCCTTTTTCTAATAATATTCTTCTTATTGCTTGTCATCATTATGCATTGAAAGTTTATTAATTTGAATTAGTTATCAACTTTTAACATTGTCCATGCCATTTTTATGTTGTTAATACACCTTCAAATTTTTTTTTCATATTTCTGTGCATCTCACAACCTAGTGTCCATGCCATACTGTTTTTTTTTTCATCAATTTGTAAATGATTTCTAATTAAATTTTTTGTATGACAGAGCTATTGTAATCTTTGGCTTTGAATTTTGATGATGGGTTGAGAGACTTTTAGTCTTTGCTTGACAGGAAAGATGAAAATGAGTGAGGCTGAAAATTTTGTTAATCTAATTGATTAAAATTCATAATAACTTTTTTATTTTGTAATTTAACTATTAAATTAATAAAATTTTCATTTTTACCTTTTTTCATCTTTACTTTTGATTGCTTTAAATGAACATGGGTCATGTGTTAAAAAATTTGTATGATTTGCTAATTGCTAGTATACAAGCTATATAATACCTAAATTCGGCATTTATGGAGTAATTAATGAGCAATTTTCAAATGACAGAAATTTTGTTGTGGTGGGAGAATGATTTTTGGCCCCGATGCATCATCACTTTTCTTAACTTCGTTTCTGATTGGATGTCCTGCAATAGCATTCTGCACAAAGATGGTGGTGAATATCACGCACGACGATCCAGTTTTTAACTATCAAATGTTGCTGGGGGGGCTCATCCTCACTGTTTTGGTAGGTAAAAGAAAAATAATAAATTCAACTTGAGTCTCCCCTACCTCTTCACCTTGCTATTTTACTAGATTATTGTTTTAATTTGCGCGCATGCAGGATTTAGGTTTTCTATTTCTGACAAGTAGTAGAGACCCGGGAATAATACCTAGAAATTCACTGCCACCTGAATCGTCGTCCGATGAAGTAAATTATCTGTCCAAGAATCCATCATTGGACTGGGTGATGAGTAGTAAAACTCCAAACCTCCGAATGCCAAAGATTAAGGATGTAATATTGGTGAATGGTAAAACGGTTAAGGTCAAGTTTTGTGACACATGCCTGTTATATCGTTCGCCGCGTGCATCTCATTGCTCCATTTGCAACAATTGTGTCCAGAGGTTCGACCACCATTGCCCATGGGTGGGTCAATGCATCGGACTAGTAAGTTTCTATAATTAATTAATTTCCATTTCTCACGCTCACGCTCACTCTCACTCTCACCCTTACTCTCACACACACACATATATATAAAACATATAGACAGCGATAGATATTAGACAAGGCCTCAACTAATTAGTTACATTAAGTTTTTAAACCAAATTAATTAATGTTTGCAGCGCAACTACCCTTTCTTCATTTCTTTTATATCATCATCCACTGCCTTGTGCATATATGTGTTCTTGTGCTCTTGGCTGAACATTCTTCGACAAGACTGCGGCTTGTGGGATGCCATGTCTCGTGATATACTGTCAGTTATTCTCATTGTGTATTGCTTCATAGCCATCTGGTTTGTTGGTGGCCTAACAGTTTTCCATTTCTATCTCATTTGCACTAACCAGGTGATGAAATTTGGCTCTCTTAATTAATTTCCGTCCGTCATGTTTTTTTTTTTTATTTAATTTCTTTTCATTCTATGTATATGCTTGTTTTTTCTTATCTACATCTTTAACGAAAGACTTGGTTTTATATAATTAAGCATAAACTAATTTTAATCATTAATTAGAAATTAATTTGTTCATTTCAATATATTTTAAATTTTTTTTTTCATAATTTCTTCTTTTGCATGTATTATTAATTTCAGACAACCTATGAGAATTTTCGGTACCGGTACGACAAGAAGGAAAATCCCTTTAACAAAGGCATATTAAACAATTTCAAAGAAGTGCTACTTTCAAAGATCCCACCTTCAATGATCAATTTTCGGGCATGGATTTCAGAAGATGACAACCTTTCCAACGGGGATTGCATTGCTTCGAAAGAGAATTTAGACATAGAAAAGGGGAACATCGATAGTGTTGCAGTTCCGAACCTTTCGCAGAGGATCGACTATGATGGTTTTGATAATAGTTTGAAGGGGAAGGGCGGAGCATTTGATGATCCACCTAATAATTCCTTTTCAATTTCCAACAACCAAAATTTTCACAAATCAAACGAATTTGTTATAGCGTAACTACCAAATGGTAGCTCCATTTGACTTTTACATCTTTCATTTTTAACAAATACATATATATTACCTTGTCCTTGATTTGTTTCTACTTTATTAATTTTTTCCACTTTTGGATTAATAAGCACGTAATGCGTACACAGCTTGTGCACTCAAAATTTAAAAAAAAAATGTTTTTTTTTCTTGTCACCTCAATCTCTTCTATCAATTAAAAAAAAAAAGTCATGTTATCTTACGACGGAATTACAAAATTATGCGGTGCAATGAGAATTTTTGTTAGTTGTTACCATGGCTAAAATTGTTTATTATGACAAAAATGTAGAAAATAAAATTGTTCTTATTTTTTATAATAAAGTGTAAAAACAAAGTCAATTGAAAGAGTCAAGCCCAAGCTCTTGCCTGCCGGCCTTTATTTTCTCCCACGCGATTTTCCTTCTCTTACACTGGCATATTTTCATTTTTGATTGGACATTATCTCTCTAGCACTTTGATAGAAAGAAAATATAAAATTTTTTTTATCAAATATAATTGCTTGTGGTATATATGTCTATTCTTATCAGATTTTGATAAAATTTCATATTTTTCTCTAAACCGATCATCCAAAACTCCGTAAAGCCAACCCTCTTTTGCTTTCCACTCTTTTCCCATTGAAGACAAAACTCTTTGAACATATATACTTTAATCTTTAAAGTATTAGAGATGTACATAGAATTTAAACTCATTATATATATATATATATGTTTCTCATTAAATGTATAGAATTTAAACTCATATATATGTTTCTCATTAAATGTACGTATACATATGAGCTAATTATGTAAATTCGAAACCTCGATGTACTTGAATATATGAATATTATTACTATACATCTTGTTCGACCAAAGAGATAGGTTTAGCTTCTTGTATAAAGTCCTACATGCTTAAAAAAAAGTAATTATCTTGTTTTGGAGTTTTATTGATGTGTATAGAGAAATAGTACATATGTTTATGTACATGAATTTAAGCTTTTTCAGCACATTTGAAATCCAATGTCTAAAATCTCTTGATTAGATTAAAGGGTTAACTCTTCAATTAATAACTTTTGATAGTAATTCACATAAATGGTTATACCCTGACAACCTAGAAATGAAAATGACAAAAAAGATATCTTCTTTTACAAATGCCGAGAGAAAATGCCTCAAGTCAAACAGTAAGAAAGCACTACAATCGACCACATAAAGAAAGAGTCCGAAGAACAAAGACGAACTCTTATCTTCTAAAAGTGATGAAGTAAAGTGATAGCCGTTGCAAATACCAAGACATCAAGTACTTGGACTAACAGGTCTTATAAAAGTTGTTCAAATTTATGGTGCCAAGACAACAAAATACCACGAACGAACAATGAATCAAGGTATTAAAAACCTTGGCACATAAAGCTGCCACAAGTCTGTAAGCACACAAGCAACTACTAAAGTTTGAAGTGCCCAACTAGATGAAGATAGCACGCCTGCAATGAGTAATTTGGACAACAAGCAAAGAAGTTAGGATATACTGTAAGCCACCAAGTGTTTGGTCATTAATCGTTATTCACATAATAACAAATTCGTTATCCTTCTCCAAAGTATGGAAAATCCTCGTGCAAAGTCGCTCGAAGACCTATATAAAAAACTTCTCTTTCTCCATAGTTGAACTTCAAGGAAGGAACTCTTCCTCATGTTCACTAACATGTGCGAAAAAGGAGATAAAGCGAAACATAACAAGCCTCCAATTACCCTAGCCGCCTATCTCTATATACTTATCATTGGGTGCAGCAAAGTCGCAAGGTTATATTTATAAGCCTTGTCTTGCCTGAATTATTTTAAATTGGGCCATAGACTTTAATTGAACACTTTAATTAAGTTCTTCATATATTTTAGTTTTTATTCAATTAAGTCATACTTAATTGAATTTCAATTTTAATTCGGATGATTTAATGTATATAAACCATTAAGTTCCAACATGTTAGTAATAAATATAAATCCAAATCGGATAAGGATAATTAATTATATTTATAGATCATGAATGATATTTAACAATGTATCATGATCACTCAAATATAAGTGAGTCAAAATAGTCTTGACATAAATTTTTAATGTTTAATTTATCAATGTAATTCGATCTTCCTATCAGATATTTCGAAAGGTTATGAGTATGATGCAATGTTTATCTATTAAATCTTTTTATATTAGTTTTTGCGGCATCTAGTCAACATGTATGAATTTAATGAGAAACTATTTATTCTAAATTCAGTTTGCTTTGGCCGAAAACTTTATGTGTTGTCTAACGTCAAGAACAAAGATATATCCTCTTATGTCACTTAAGATGAAGAATCCTCTTTTAACCACTCATCCACCTTAGCATTCTTCAAATCATACTAAAAAACACCATTTTTAGGGAACACACTCAGAGTCTCAAGGGTGCGCATGATGTCCCTAGAGGTGTGCCACCTGATGTCTCAAGGGATGTTCACCTGATGCCCCAAGAGTGAGCCCAGAGTGTACAGCTGGTGCTGGAAGAAGCCAGGCCTGAAGTGATGAAAGCCCTCGCTCGATGCACTCATGGGGCGCACCCAACTTGCCCGACCTGGGGAATGCCTATGCGCTCGAAATCCTAAAAATGAAGAGGGAGTAATCACAAACAAGAAAAAGTGAAGATAAAGAAAACACTTCTTTCACAGAAAACTCAAGTAAAAAATAGAGATAGAAAATCTTCATGTCAACGACTAAGTCAATTAGAAGGCAAGCAATTCCTCTACAAGGCAATGATACGTTCACCGAGGCTAAGAAACATGAATTAGCAAAGGTATTGCATTTTTTGAAGTTCACAAGAACTCTCATTTGAAGATGAAGAGCTAGTCGGGCGATTACTGGAGACACTAGATGTCTCCCTCGAAAGATCATGACTATTAACAATATGTTCACTAAAAAGAAGAAGACATTAGGATTCGTTATGAAAGCAAAAATAGAGCCTGAAAAGATAGCGACAAGTTACAATGGGGAGCTAAGGACCAGCGAAACCAAGTGGCACGTATCCCTCAACATTAATGTACTAAACAAGTTCTCCATAACGAAATCGCAAGTTTAAGCTAAGGCTAAGCCAAAAGAAATTACCTTAAGAAAGAATAGCTTTAATGGTGGAAGCAACTTTGACAAGGTGAAAGCTTGTCAATCACTTCAACAGCTAAAATTGAAGAACTATTTATTGTAGTGGGAATTTCATAAACAGAATTTCTATTATACTTTTTCACCAGTGGTGGCCTTGTGTTGAGATCCTTCACTAGTAGATGAAAGGAAAAAATTCTATAGAAATATTATTTGTTTTGCAAATCTTAGAAACAAAAATCAAGTTTCTTTGCATTTTAGGAACATGCACAACTTTAGGAAAATGTAAAGGCTTGTGTACAATGGTATTTTGGCTGAACCAATGTTTTTAATTGGCAAACTTGAACCATCTTTAATTAGGATTTCTTCAAGACTTCCATGTTTAAAATAGATAGGCAGATTGTTAAGGTCAATAGTTACATGATGACAAGCTCTTGAGTTTACCATCTAATTTTGACTGTTTGCATAACTTGTTGATCGAACAAAGTTAGCAGCTACATATTTCATTGTTGAGATGTTGAATTGGTGACGTGTTTTGGCACTATGACCAATTCAAGCACACAATTAACAAGTTGTTCCATTTTTGTATAGCTTGAGATATACTAATTAGTCCTTCTCTTTGTATGAGTAGAGTTTTTGTGAAACTAATTGTAATGTGCACATTACCTTTAGGATTATTTCGTTTCTAATATTTACAGCTCTTTCCCTTTGTTACCATGTTAGATGTGATAACAAAAGCAGTCATGGATTCCTCTTGATTTTTGCTTTAAAATCTCAACTTTTCTTATAGTCCCTCTAATGATATTAATATTGCATTTTCTGTGACTCTTGTGGTGGTAGGCATATCTTTAAATTTAGTGCCTAAACCATTCAAGATGAAAATAATTAAGTTATCTTCAGCTATAAGAGCTTGTGTCAGTGCTAACTCATGTGCAGTACTCTTCATTGATTGCATATATTCAGCCACAGGTTTGTTTCCTTATGTCAACAAAATAGACTTTTTGCTTGCAAAAAGTTATGTAAGTTTAGCTATCATGGATATGACTGTTCGAGTAACTGATGCAACAATGACATTAAATATCAATTTGTTTTGTCTGATCCACTTTGAGTATTTTGGATTTAAGGTTTGGGTATCACTAACTATGATGTATTTTGCAAGGTAAGGATGACTGCTATCAACATAACCAACAAGCTTTAGAAGCTTTGATACCTTAAAGATAAAAGGCTTTTGAACCAATCATAACTTTGATTATTGTCAAGGGTAACATACTTATATATCTGTTTAGTAAATAAGTTTGAATTAATCTTATTTACAAACTTTGAAATATAATCCTAATCTAAAATATAATAAATATTTTCAAAATTATATTGTAAATAAAAGACTTAATCACCTAACTTCTTGTATCGTAGCATAATTATGCTTCTCATTGGCTTATTTGTAATAGTCATAATATCAACAACTTTAACCAAAGAAGTTTGATGGTGTTTACATTGTATTGACGTTAACAAATTTTGAAGGTGAAAAGATTTGATTTAATTATGTGAATGATTGAACAGGGATTAAACTCATAGTTTTATCTAAATACAAGGACTAACTACAAAATTTAATTCTTTTTAGACAAATTCTTAAATTTGTTTAGTTTCATCACATCATATCATTTTTACTAATGTTAACTATTAAAGTTATCTACTTTTATTCTTGTTACAATTTGACCTAAATAGAAGGAATTTCAAAACAAAATATTAAACCTTAAATTGGTTGTGATAAAATCAGCAGATGTTCCTAAAATTAAATTTTAGGATAAATTTTAGTCTCATAAACTAGTTTTAACTTTAAAAAATATAAACTTTACATATTTAAAAAAATAGAAAGAAAAAAACACAAAACAAAAGTGAAAAGTGATAAATTCAGATTTGAGAAAATAGGAGAGGAGTATTTCCTTCACTAAACTCGATTGGGATAGATATAGGATCTAGAAATGATTGATAAATAAAAATAAATAAATATCTAACTTAATCTGGACTGAGATAAAAATAGGATATAGTAATGATTAGTAATTATAATAAATAAATATCTAACTTAATCTAGAATAGGAAATACTGGAAAATTTTTATTATTAAAATGAAAGTAAGGAATTAATATATTAGGGTTAATTGTTATCGGGATCTTAATTTAGTAGTAATGAAAAGAACCTAAAATCTCAAAATTTTAGATTGAAATTTCATCTTATTTAGATGTGATGATTATCTAATTATGTTTTAGTTAATTCTAATTTATTAATTATTTAAAATATATTATATATGGACATAATAATTGATTCTGATTATAAATTTTTTTATAATTGTAATTTTAAAAAATATATATTAGTAATAAATTAAAAGAAAAAAATATTTATCAATAAAAAGAAAAAAATTAGTACTTAGTAAGCATAAGCGTAAGGAGAAGAACAGCCAGCGCGTGGAAGCCACGAGTAATTGAGATATCCACCCGACTCAGAATGCTTGGAGTTTGCCAGCATTAACCCATTTTTAATTTATCTAATTTTCCTTCAAGAGAGAGACAGAGAAAGACAGAAAACAAAATCTGGCAAGTCTACATAGAGAAGAAGGCGACAAGGCTGTTACTTTTCTCTTCTTTTCTTTATTTTTTCTTAAAAATGAGGGGAGAAAAGGAAAAGAAAAGAAAAGAAAGAGGCAGTATCGTAGCTTGGTAGAATCCGTCTTTGTTGTTGTAATGTTGGCAGAGAGACGAGAGATGGCAGCAGCTGCTCATAGCTGGTCTTTGTTTTTGATCCAAAAACCTGTCTCTCTCTTTCCTCACTGCTCATAGATTGCCAGCCATCCGAATTGAGTCACACCCACTTCAATTATCACTTTAATTTTTTGAATTTCTTCGTCGCATTTGGAAGATGAACGAACTATGGTTTTGTTTTGTTTGGTTTGGGGATATTACATTAAGAATTCATTACTAGATATTTGGGCTTCTTCTTCGTCTTCTTCGTTATCATCAATCATTGATCATCGACTCAATCAGGTATGGCCCTGAGTTCTGATCCTAAACACAAGAGGCTTTATCAAGTTTGGAAAGGGAGCAATGTGAATTTCTTCTTCTTCTCTCTTTCAATTGGGCTTTTTTTTTTTTGTCGTTTTTGGTTGTGGAAACTATGATTTAACATCACTATAGTACCTTACTCTGCGGGACACTATTGCTTTTTTTTTTTTTACCAAACAATTGATAGACATGGTCATCATTCCGAAATATCCTTTTTAGCTCAAATTCTGAAACTGCCTGGATCAATTTTGCAGTTATGTTGATTTTCTTTTAATACTAGTTAAATTAATAGTTTAAGAGATTAATTACCCATCACAGTATGGATGGACGGGTGTTGGTTTTCTTTTAATAATAAGGTCTAAGGTTTGTAAAACCTTGACTATTGTGTATGCTCAATCAGAAATGTAGCTTCATTACTATTATTATTATTGTTGTTGTTGATTAATGAGGCTTTTGTCCTTGTTGATTTTGTTCTAACAGAGATTCTTTTGTGGTGGGAGATTGATCTTTGGTCCTGATGTCGCATCATTGTTTCTGTCCACACTCCTTATTACTGGCCCTGCCATTGCGTTCTGCATAAGGATGTATATAAAGATCAAACATGAAAATACCAAACATGTTGCTTACTGTTACTCCATATTCATTCTGGCTGCCATACTCTCTGCGTTGGTAAGTTTTATTTTTTGTTGGTTTGGCTTATAGAGGTGGTCAATGTTACAGAATTATGCCAGCCAAATAGATTTCAAACTCGTAAATTACTTGATCTGAACATGGCCATTTCGCTTAATTTTTAAATTAGAATTTTTATTTTACATTCTTATGTAATTTTTTTTTTTGCACTTTATGTTGTATTCCACTGTTCTTCAGCAACAACTTAAAAGCTTCTGAAGGTGACTAAGCACATAAGTAGTCCTCATTTTATAAACAGTTTTATTTGGCGAGTATTGCTGCATTTGCATAAAAGAAAGCATGCTTTGTGTATGAGGACAATTTTGATGCTACCTGTAACCTATTTCTTGTAACTGGGCTATGGGATAACTTTCTTTTGTTTCCTATGGCCCTTGAGTATGTTATATTTCATTTACAAATTGCAGAGGTGTTTGCTGTTTAATATATATATATATCATCGTTTCATTGTCCATTGGCTTCAGTGAATGGTTTGTTTAATCATTTTCTTTTTATTCTTTTGGGAAATTAACTAGTTTTATGCCATATATACTTTCTGAGCCGGTGAAACCCTCACCTTCACAACAGAAAATGGAAAATTGATATGAAATTCAACTCTTGGCAGGATTTGCTCTTCCTCTTCTTTACCTCTGGTAAGGATCCTGGAATTGTACCTAGAAATTCAAAACCTCCTGAATCAGATGAAGCATTTGATATGGCTACCCCATCTATGGAGTGGGTTGATGGTAGAACTCCTCATTTAAAATTTACTCGTACAAAAGATGTAATAGTTAATGGCCACTCTGTGAAAGTAAAGTACTGTGACACCTGTATGCTTTATCGTCCTCCCCGAGCATCTCATTGTTCAATATGTAACAACTGTGTTCAGAGGTTTGATCATCACTGCCCATGGGTTGGTCAGTGCATTGGAATAGTAAGTTTAAGTTTCCTCTATGCAAACTTTCTTATTGACTAAATGTACTTACTGTTAGGATGTACATAAATAGTTAGTTTGAATTATTTTTCTTGACATGACTTGAATTAGATTGGCGTAAGCAATGGTATTTTACAAGAAGATATCAACTTGGCTTTGTCATAAAGATATTTTAATAGTATAACAACCGAAGTAAATATTGCACTGGGCCTTAATTATTGTTCTTTTAAACTTGATTGGACGTGGTAGCTACCGAGTCTTTCTCTCAAATCTGCTGTTGCCTTATTCTCCACACGTCTAAAATGAGTAATGCTTTATGCACTTGATGTAGGTCCAGAGACATGGGCCTTCCCCAAATTTGCATGAAATTGGTAATGTTATAAAGGAAGGAAATTAGGGTTTTGATGCTAAACTTTTAGGTTTAAATGGAGTGAAAAGGTGGGACATTAAAAGAGTTATTTGCGTTTCTATGGAATTTGGTAGGTCATTAATGCCACGATGAAAAAACAAGGCAATCAAAATGCTATTTAGAAGCCGTTTTGGCATGGTGAAAGGTAATTTGGAGTTTAACGTTGAATTTAGATAGTTTATTCAAGTTGCTGTTATTGAGGTTTTATTTCAAATCTGAACCATGAACTGGACACAGCAGAAAACCAAATAAGGATAAATAAGGGGATATTGGTAAGCTTCACGTGTAGTTTTCCTTAAGATTCTCACTTAGACTTGATTGCATCACACCAGCATAGGAGCAAAAATGCTTGCGAGAATAATTCTTTTCAATATTAGAGGATTATATTGATATATGTATAAGTCTCTAGCACTTCTAGTCCATCTGATAAGGACTAGAACTCTAAACCTTATTAGCATTTAACCTAAAAATGAATCAAAAACTATTATTAAAACCTAAAAATATAGGAAAGTATAAAATAAACCTGAAAATCACACCTTGAATTTCCATGTTATCTTTTTACGTATAGGCGATTGGCTGCTGCCAGTTGGAAATTTAGCATTTATGATCACTATTTTTTTTCATATTGTATTCAGGATTTTTACTTATCTAGGGATATACTTTGCTAAATTGCACAAGTTGTAAAATTATGGTGCCAATAAGTTTACTCAAAGTTGTTGCAAAATCTTGTATATGATCTCTAAATGGATGACTTTCAGTATTATATATTTGCAAAATTTTGTAATTACTTATTTGTGATCGAAACTAATGGTGCTTTTGACATGTGTGGTGGTTGCAGTGTAACTATCGGTTCTTCTTTATGTTTATATCAACCTCAACCATCTTGTGCATATATGTCTTTGTCTTTTCTTGGATCAATGTCCTTGAAAAGGAAGTCGACAATCATAGCAATGTTTGGAAGGCTATGACACATGATATCCTATCCATTGTTCTCATAGTCTACTGCTTCATAGCTGTATGGTTTGTTGGTGGCCTTACAGTTTTCCATTTCTATCTAATTTGCACTAATCAAGTAAGTTTCTTGTCAAAGTTCCATGCTTCTTTGAATAAATGGTAACCTTTGATTATTATCATATTATATATTTATGGTCCCTGAAATACTTTGACTGATAGGGCAATCTTGAATTGGCTGGCTGTATATCTGATGTCTGTAACACATTTTGGGTTTTTGTCAATCAATGCATTCTTAAATCTTTCTCTAACTTATACTTTTTGCAGTTGTGTCCTGTTTTAGTTTCTCCACTTTTTCTATTTGGTGCCTTGAGCCTATTTGGCCAAGTGGTACAGTTGTGTGGATGACCATGCTAGAGCTTATAAATGCCTATATTTATACTATATATTACTTTTTTCTTTTTGGCATAGGACATATATCCTTGTGAAAAATCTTTAGTTATCGGCCCTGGTTTGTTTTGTTTCTTAACAGACTACGTATGAGAACTTCCGGTATCGATATGAGAAGAAGGAGAACCCCTATAACAAGGGAACAGCAGGAAACCTTGGTGAAATATTTTTCTCCAAGATTCCACCTTCATTGAATAATTTCCGTTCATTTGTGGAGGAAAGTGAGCCTATGGTTGTGGGATCAGTGACTTCAAACTTTCTGGAAGGTCCTATTAGCCCGAAAGAGAAAATTGACATTGAGATGGGAAATAGATTTGATGAAGATACTGGTTATTCACTTCCCGGAATTTTGAGAAATTTGGATTATGATGATTTGGAGGATGAATTGAAGATAAAGCAGGAAACAGGAAGATCTACTGGTCCATTCTTTCTTGATCGGCAAGATATGAATAAGTCTGTTGAAATCTCCATTCCAGGGGATGGAATGGTAAGAAGTGAGCAAAGTTCAGCTTCTGAAAATGGAGTTAGAGAATTTATGCAAAGCTACACTGCAGGAAATGAAACTGATACAATGGAGAAAAATGAAGAATGTCACAATTCTCAGCCAACCACAGCATTGTCTCTTTGAGTATAAGTGTAATCTTGTTGTTCTCTCTCTTTCTCTTTTTAGTTAATAATTCTTGTGCCAATTTTATTTTCAAATTTTTGGTAACAAACACTGGTATAAATGATAGTTATACAAGTTTTGGATTAAGAAGAGCTTTGGTTGGGGTTTGCGTTGAAATTAATGTGAATGATCTCCTTATCTTCTATAATCGCAGAACTGTGCAGGTTTGAAGGACTAAGTCAAGGTGGAATACAAGCTCAAAAGAGGTTGTTAAGAGGCTGGAAAAGCGGCAATATATCTGTTCATTTTGAATTTCAAAAACTTTTATTTGTTGTAAGTTGTAAATGTCACGTTTTGATGGAAATAATGCTGAAACTCAAAACAAATGGTGTCTGTGAGGGTGAAAAGGGGTTTGTAGATTGTGTTGTAGGTTCATCATTTCTTCCTGTTTCTAGAATTTGCTTATTCAGAATAGAGATTTTGTATTTCATTGGTTAGGATTGTAGCATTTCTAGAACTAAATAGTTTAACATCTCGTTTCATTCGATGGTGGTATGTAATTATGTTTTTTTTTTAATTTCATGAGTGAAATTTTTAAATTTTACAAACAGAAGTTTTTAAGCTTTATTAGTTGAATTGAAAGATTATCATGTATTTTTTTATTATATTAATATTTAAATTTTTTTAAAAAAATATATTCTAAAAAGATGTGTTAACTCTCTGACTTTTCATTTATATATGAGATAAAAATTTTTATTAGAAAATGTGTTGGAATTTAGTTTTTGTGTGTAAAATACATTTACTTAGAAAATGCATATTCTTTTATCTCATTTCATCTAGAGTTCTTCTACTATAGACTCGCAGCCGTTCGAATTATTTGCCACGCTTGTGGACTTCGGCTCGATTCAAGTTGAGTCCTAGATAGGATTTTATAAATTCGTTTTTTTATATTGTCGGTGTTGATGTTAAACTGTTATTGTTTTGTCACATGTTTTATAATTTTTATAAGAATTTATTAATTTTATTAAATGTGCTCTAATGGCAAGTAGCGGCTAAAATGATCTATTACTTTTTAGAAGAATTTATTAATTTTATTAAATGTACTTCAATGGAATATGTGATAAGATAATCGATTAACTCCACTAGTACACATTTTAAACTTTAACTGATGAGATGAGATAAAAAAAAATTTTAAATTACAAAAAATTTAATGAATCTGGGATAACCACTTGCAAGACGGAGGAAGATGTGAAGAGAGGTCACAAGTGACTTGGGCTTTTGCTTTCCGATAATCAAAGGTGAGCAGAAATATGAAGATAGGGTGATTGATAGACCACAGAAGATTGCAGAGATAATGGATAAGGAATTGGAGCAATGGCAACTAGAGGGGATTGAGGATTTACTGTCTCCGCAACAGAAGAAATATATATTGGCAATTCCTATTATTTGTCAGAAAGGAGGTAAAGATAGATTGATATGGAGTGCTCAGTTCGATCTGGTTACCTTTTGGCTAAAGATAAAGAGCACAATAATCAATTAAGTGGAACATCCTAAGATCGGGAAATTCTTATGGAAAGCATGTCTGAATGCAAGGGCCTCCATTGACAACCTGGAAAGATGGAAAATTGTCTTTAGCTCTGAATGTCATTTGTGTGGTGCAGAAAAGGAAACAATAGAGCATATCTTGTTACAATGTGAGTGGACTAGGTTGGTATGGTTTGGGTGCAATCTTGCTCTAAGAATAAATATGTTGGATCTTTTAGCACTTTTAATCAATGGTTGTTAGCAACATGGAAAGGTATGGAGCAACGAATTGAAAAAAAGGGAGATTTTATTTCATATAAGATTTGTATGTTGGACAATCTGGAAAGTGAGGTATGAAGCAATATATAAGCACAGGAGACCTGATCCTAGAGTCACTATAACCGTAGCAGATGAAGCTTTCTGGGAATTCTGGAACTCATCAAGGAAAAGCGTAATGAGCACCAGGATGAGGTGTGGAAAGAAATGAACCACACCAAGAGGATGGATTAAGATAAATTTTGATGGAGTGGTCCAACAGGTTATTTTTTAATCTTATTCAGCTATCTTGATAAAAGAGATTATAAACAACAAGAAGAAGGCAGATAGATGGAAACTAGTTTCGTTGTTAAAGGATTTAAGGGAAATACTGAAGTATATCAAAGATGTTAAGTTTCAACTAGCGTCGAGCAACTGACTGGATCGCAAACCAGTCTAAAAGGAGGGAGGATGTGTCATGAGAATTGGGTAAAGCAGGTGAATATTCGAGATAAAGATGGTTTGATATGAAATCTCAGTTTCATCTAGTGTCTTATTCAGAACCTCTATAAGATGATTCTGACAAGTGTTAAAAGTGGTGAACAATGATGTAGTTGAGACATACTGACGTAATTTCCCTATTACTGATCTAACACAATTCTATTTCATTGGCCAAAATAAAAATGCACTTCCATTTCACTATAACACAGTTCTTCTCTGAAGGATTAAGGGCATAATTATGCCACATCGTTGTATGAAACGTCAAAGGACGTTTTATCCTACTGAAGAGTTTTGTAACAAAATCTGCATAGTCTGCATAGCTTTTGCTTTCCTTCATAATATATATATATATATATATATATATATATATATATCATCACATGAAAAATAGCATCCAATTATTTTCTGTTCTCTCAATTCATAATCATTTACAAGGACGACATTTTAGAATCATCCTTCTCGTAATTTTTTTTTTTTTTTCACATGGAAAGACTTTTCAAAAATTTCTTTAAGGTTTGTTTTAAACACACTTCTTTTTTAGTCATTTTGCAATAAAATTATGGTTTTTAAAATAAAAAACTTGATCTGTGGACATCGAAATGACTAAATAATAATAATAATAAAAATAAAGTAAAAATAAACTCTCACTACTGATATGATCAGAATCAAAACCAATTAATGGTCTTGTCACTGCTGATGCCAAGCCCTTAAATAGGGAAAGGGGATTACTATATATGTCATTGTTATTTTTGCTGTTGGGAACACTTGCGCTTGTTCTCTTGTTACCCTGTAGCAACTTGCTTTTTGGATCGACGTTTGAAATAAAAGCTTTAAATCATCAAGAAAAGAGGAAGAATGAAGCCGCTATTTTGGAATTATGACAAAGTAACCTCTTGGTTCTGAGATTGGGAGAGAGATCACTAGAAAAAACCAGAAATAAATGAGGTTTCTAAAATGAGAAAGACCAAAAAAAATTCTGAAGATAGAAAGAGAGAAACAAGAAAGCGAAGCCAGAAGAAAGTGAAACGCAAGAAAACTTTTTTGGATTCGTGTCATAATCCTGGTGGTACATAGATTTTGAAATGACGTGGGTATCATCCCTCCCTTAACAGGTCCTCACCATTTCAAAGAGCAAAAAGAGAGGACCTTGGATTTTGACTGTTTCGTTCCATTATGTATGTGCCGTTTAAAGTTAAGATGACGTTTGTATTCTTGTCTATTCTTGTTTAGTAAGCAGTGTTTTATTAATTAAACTGGACTTCTTACATAGATTTGCCATTATGATGCATGTAAACAGGGCCCTCCTGAGTTCATTTGAGTTGGCAACTACAAATGTTACAAGTTATCTGTTAGCGAATAAATCAGTCTCATACCATACCAGCCATCATTGTCATATGGTTTTATTAAATTTGCTTCTGCTTTTGCTTTCGCACCAATTCTGATAGTTGTCTCAAGAATACAAAAATTGATATACTTCTTTTGAAAAAAAAAAAAAGAAACATATCATATCATATATCAAAAATTAAGAAGAATTATTTCAAACTACTCCAAAAAATTAGATCTTCCTTAATTTGATTTTAGGGTTATATAAATCGCACTTGAACTATAAGGCAACATTTTCAAATGACAGTCTTATTGACAGGATTCCAAATGAAATCCGATCCATTCGAATATAGATCCAGAAACTACTTATCCTAGGCTCAGGACAACAAGGCATGCCGGAGACTAGCGGTGGACGGATGCTTGTTTCTACGGTGGTCCCATTCTTCACAATGAAAACGGTGTCCATACCCCTGTAGACACCGAGCCTAGTATTTTCATTTCAGTATAATATTAATGATTTTTATAATAATAATACTAATAATATTTTTTTTAAAAATAATTATTAATTATATAATAAAATAATAATAAAACAACAAAAAAAACAAAAAAACAAAAAGTAGGGTGGCTGGCACTGATGCCGCCCCCGACCAGCCACCCTACAGCCACCGTTCAACTACCCTACCAGCCCACCTACAGCCACCCTACAGCCACCCAGATTCCCCTAATTGAAGCCATTTAAAATCCACAGCCCTTTCCCCTACGATCTGGCTCGGACCACCCTTTTCCAAAAAGCTAAGCCTCTCTCGAACCCCCTCTCAAAAAAACCTCTCGGACCAAGAAAGTATCCCTCTCGAAAAACCTTCGAACAGATTCACGCCAAACCTCCTACCCATCAGAAAACCAAACAGCCAGATCACAAAAAAAAAAAAAAAAGAACCACAAAAATCAACACAAAAAAAAATCATAAAGAAGAAACCACAGTCCTCGCCGAATCGGCGAGGAACCCAGCGCCAAGGAGATACCTGCAACAAAAAAGAAAAGGTCATTAGCTTGAGTTTTTCAAAAAAAAAAAAAAGAACAGAAAATTTTGAAACCCGATCTACGTCGATCGGGGCCTTTTCCAGTGAAGAGGAGACCGGATCTAGAAAGATCGCGTCGAAAGCAGCTTCCTGATCACTTTTTGAAATTTTCGGCCACCGGTTACGGTTGACCAGGCAGCGGGCGACGCCGTGCTCCGGCGACCGGACGGCAGACGGCCGGACCTCTCCCCCAGAGCTCTCTCCCTCTCTCCCCTTTTTTTTTTCTGAAACAGAAAATAATGAACCAAAAAAAATCTTCAGCTATATATAGGAAAAGCAAAACTCAAAACGACGTCGTTTATGGAAAGACCCCCAAAACGACGCCGTTTCAACAAAGAGAATCAGCGTGTGTACTCGGATCCGACCCGAGATCATTGCAAATCGACCCGCCAACCCGCTTCAGCCACTGGTCCGAATGAACCGCCAGTAAACCGGTCCGAACCGCCGGACCGCCGGATCGATCAGACCGGTCCAGATCAGCATTGACCGGTCCGGTTCAGTAAAAAAATTTTAATTTTTTAAATTTTTTATATATTATTATTTTTGTTATTTTGAGTTTGTTTTATTTATTCTTGCATAATAATTTTTAAATTTGTTAGAATAAATGTTTTATTGTTTTAATAATAATAATAAAATATATTTAAATTGTTCAAAAAAAATATTTATTATTATTATTATTTTTCCTGTCTAGATGTTGGAGGGAATAAAATTTTTAAAAAAATAATTTCGCATATGTTGAAAATTATTATTAATAAATTTTCATAAAAACAAAATATAAGAAATTTTTAATTAATTTTTAAAAATCACTAAAATTGAACATACTTCGAAAATCCGTCAAGATATTGAGAATTTTTAAGATGTTCACATTTTCTTAAAAACGAAATCTTAAATGCTAATTATTAATTTTCAAAATCTTAGGT